AAAGAAGAGATGTAGAAAGCACATTCGAAGAATTAATGGCCAAAAATTTCCATATATAGAGAAAGATCATAGCATCCAGGTATAGGAAGGTCAGAGGTTGCCCATCAAAATCAATCCAAGGAGGAACATCTGAAGGCACATCATAATCAATTATCAACAACCAAGACAAAGAATGAATATTGAAAACAGCAAGAGAAAAGAAAAGAAAAGTATAGCATTCAACAGAACCCTAACACGTCTCAGCAAATTTCTCAGTAGAAACCCTACAGGGCAGAGGTAAATAGAATAATTTATTCAGAATTTATTCAGAGTGCTCAAGGAAAAAGACTGTCAGCCAGGAATTCTGTATCCACCAAAACTGTCCTTCAAATATGAAGGAGAAATAAAGTCTTTCAAAGACAAACAAATGCTGAGGAACAGAAATGCTAACGGGAGTTCTTCAATTTGAAAAGAGACAATGCTAAGGACCAGTAAAAAAACATTTGAAAGTGTATAACTCATTAGAAAGGTAAGTTCACAGACAACCTCAGAAAACTACAGTCATAAAGGTGGTGAATAAATCCCTTACATCCATGGTGTGAAGACTAATGTTCAAACCGAAGAAGGCAATATCATTATCAGCAACCATGTAGGAGACAGGAAATATGAAAAGATGTATCTTGAAACAACAAAATGTCAAAAATTGGGGAGGAATGACACCATAGCATAGAGTTGTCTTTGGTTATTTGTTTTTTCTTAGATATCAAACTTAAGTTCTGATCAGTCTAAAAAAATCTGTTACAATTAGGACATGTATTTCTTTTGGAAGGCTCATGGTAACCTTAACACAAAACTTATGAGAGATCATACTAAAAATCAATAAGAAGAAGTCAAAATACACTGCAAGAAAAAAACAGCAAGTGAGAAAGGAAGGCAGTAAGATCAGAAAAAGGAAGGAAGTATGAACAAAACAACCAGAAGTCAGGAACCAAATGGCAGTAACAAATCCCTATAAATCAGTAACCATTCTAAATGTAAATGGACTAAATACCTCAATTAAAAGACACAGAGTGGCTCAAAGGGTTATAAAAGAAGAACCAACATTCTGCTGCCTACCAGAAACTCACTTCATTTATAAAAGGACATACTAACTGAAAATGAAGGGATGGAAAAAAGATATTTCATGCAAACATAAACCAAAAAAGAGAAGGAGTAGCTACATTTAGATAAAATAGACTTCAAGCCAAGGAAAGTAAAAAAAGATAAGGAAGGTCATTATATAATGATAAAGGGATAAGTTCGACAAGCGGATATAACAGTTCTACATACATACTCATCTATCACCAGAGCACCCAGGTAGATAAAGCAATCACTAATTGACCTATAGACCTAATGTAAGAAATAGACTCCAACAAAGTCATAATCAGAGACTGTAACACCCCACTTTTAGCAAAGGACAGATAATGCAGACACAGAATTAACCAGGAAACATCAGAATTAATCTCTTCTCTGGGCCAACTAGAACTAATGGACACGTATTCCGCATTTCATCCAACAGCAGCTGAATACACATTCTTCTCAGCAGCTCATGGTGCATTCTCTATAACTGTGTTAGGTCACAAAACAAGTCTCAACTGTTTTAAAGAATTTAAATTATACCAAGTAACTTGTCTAACCACATAGAACACAAGAAATCAACAACAAAAGGGACACAAGAAACTACAAAGACATGGAAATTAAACAACATGCTCCTAAACAACAAATGTGTCAAAGATGAAATAAAAAAGGAAATTAAAATAGTCCTGGAGACAAATGAAAATGAAAACATGACATACCAGGCCGATGGAAGAAAGCAAAAGCAGATCTTAGAGGAAAGTTCGTAGCAATAAATATCTATTTAAAAAAAGAAGAAAGATATTCAATAAACACTCTTACATTACTTCTCTAGGAACTAGAAATACAAGATCAAAGCAAACCCAAAATCAGTATGAGAGAAATAATAAAAATCAGAACAGGAATAAATGAATTAGAAATTTAAAAGACAATCCAAAAAAATCAATGAAGCAGCATTGGATTTTTGAAAAGGTAAGAAAAATCAATTAACATTTAGCCAGATTCATGAAGACCAAAAGAGAGAACACTCAAGCAAATAAAATCAGTAATATAGAAGGAGATATCACAACTGATACTGAAGAAATACAAAAGATCATAACATTACTATGAACAATTATATCAGAAAAAACTTGGAAACCTAGAGGAAATGGATAAATTCCTTGATACATACAATATGCGAAATCGTGAAGAACTTGAAACCTAAACAGACCAGTGATGAATAGTGAGTCTGAAGCAGTGATTAAAAAGTCTCCCAACAAAGAAAACCTCAGGACCAGATGACCTTACTGCCAAATCCTACCAATCATTTAAAGAAGGCCTAATACCACTTCTTCTCAAACTCTCCCAAAAAATTGAACAGGAGGGAATATCTCCAAACTCACTCTAGGACGCCAAAATTAATGTTCCACCCAAACCGAAAAATGATATAACAGAAGAAAAAACACTGCAAATAGATATTCCCAATAAACACAAATGTGAAGATCCTCAGTAAAATACTAACAATCAGAATCTAATGGAACATTGAAATGTTCATTCACCATGATCAAATGGGATTCTTCCAGGGATGTAAGGATAGTTCAACACATGGAAATCTATAAGCGGGATGCATTGCATGAACAGGATGAAGGAAAAAATTGTATAATGATTTCAGTACATGCAGAAAAAGCATGTGATAGGGCCGAGCCCGTGGCGCACTCGGGAGAGTGCGGCACTGGGAGCGCTGTGGCGCTCCCTCCGCAGGTTCGGATCCTATATAGGGATGACTGGTGCGCTCACAGCACTCACTGGCTGAGTGCAGTGCGGCCAGTCTCAAAAAGGACAAAAAAAAAGAAAGAAAAAGCATGTGATAAAATCCAACACTCCCTCATGATAAAAAACACTCAAGAAGTTGATAAACTTACCACTGAATAGCATTCTGAATGGACAAAAATTGGATGTTTTTCCTCTGAGATCTGCAACAAGACAAGGATGACCACTTTCCACAGTCTATTCAACATAGTACTGGAAGTTCTAGCCAGTTTATTAAGGCAAGAGAAAGCAATAAACAGCTTCCAAATCAGAAAGGAGGAAGTCAAACTATATCTATTTGTAGATATCATGATCCTATATGTAGAAAACCCAAAAGACTTCACCAAAAAATTACTAGAATAAATGAATTCAGTAATGTGGCAGGATTCAAAATAAACAGACAAAAATAAACAACCTTTTTATACACCACTGACAAAATAGCTGAAGAAAAAGACAAGAAGATATCCCGCACAGAATAACTACCCCTAAAATGAAATACCTAAGGGTAGGTTTAATGAAGGAGGTAAAAGACCTCTGCAATGAAAACTATAAAACATCGGTCAAATAAAATCAAAGAGGGCACAAATGAATGGAAAGATGTCCCATGTTCATGGGTCAGAAGAATTAACATCATCAGAATGTCCATATTGCCCTCTGCAATGTACATATTCAACTTAATTCCAATCAACATACCAAGGACATTTTTCATAGAAATAGAAAAAAACGATCTTAAAATTTGTATGGAACAGAATAGAGAGCCCAGAAACAAACCCACACATTTACAGCCAACTGATTTTTAACAAAGATGCCAAGAATACACAGTGGGGAAAGGAAAGCCTTTTCAATAAATGGTGCTGGAAGAGTTGGATATCCACATGCACAAGATGGAACCTAGACCCCTGTTTCTCACCATACATAAAAATCAACTCAAAATGGATTAAAGGCCTACATTCAAGCCCAAAACTATGAAACTACTAGAAGAAAACATAGGGGAAACTGTACATGAAATGGAAGTGGGCAGTGCTTCTTTGAGCAAGACTACAAAAGTACAGGCGGCTAAAGCAAAAATACGTAAATGAGACTACATCAAACTAAAAAGCTTCTGTGCAGCAAGGGACACTGTCAAAAGAATGAAAAGACAACCTACAGAATGGTAGAAACTGCACACTACGCATCAGGCATGGTGCTAATATACGGAATATATAAGGAACTCAGACAACTCAACAGCAAATAAGGCAAAGAACCCAGTTAAGAAATGGGTGAAGAACATGCATAGACTTTTCTCAATAGAAGGCATACAAATGACCAACAAGCACTTGAAAAAATGCTCAAAGTCACTAATCATCAGGGAAACTGCTCAAGAAGCTATCACCTCACCCAAGTTGGAATGGCTATTATCAACAAGATGGAAAATAACACCTGCTGGCAAGGATGAAGAGAAAAGGGAATCCTCCTACATTGTTGGTGAGAATATAAATTAGTAGAGACATTGTAGAAGGCAATATTGAGGATCCTCAAGGAAATAAAAATAGATCTCCTTTAAGACACAGCTATTTCACTACTGGGTATATACCCAAGGAAAATGAAATCAATATATCAAAAAGACACCTGCACTTCTGTGTTAATTGCAAGACTATTCACAAAGGCCAAGAGATGGAATTTACAAAGATGCCCATCAAGGGATGAATGGATAAAAATACCTGGTATAGATAAACAGTGGAACTCTATTGAGCTGTAAAAAGAAATGATATCCTGTCATTTGCAGCAACATGGATGGAACAGAATAGTATCATGTTAAGTGAAGTAAGCCAGACACAGAAAGACAAAAATTGCATGATCTCAATGAGAGGTGAAATCTTAAAGCAAATAAACAAGCAAAAAAGTGGTTCTGACCAAAATAATGGTTAGAATAATGGTTACCAGAGGCTGGGGGTGGTGGGAAGGGGAGGAAGAGAAGTGGTGGTGTACCAGGTACAAAATTATGCTACCTACCCTAAGTGACCACAGTATATGCATGTATTGAAACACTACACCATACCCCACAAAAATAAATATAACTAAAATTTTAAAAAGTGAATTGATAGATGTTTAAAAATAAATAATACATGAATAAGGACTGTGTGTATACATATATATGTATGGATGGAGGGATGGATGCATGTAATGCCACAGATTGGAAAAGGTTAGTATTCCCTCAGTAAGAAAAAAAAACGTTCAGTTTTAAAAGGTCATTCAGATTACTTTTGTGTGAGATTTTATGCGTGCTCTTCAGCTGCTGAATTAACATTATTGATAATCCTTTTCAGATTATCAATAAACAGTTTGTACTCTAAATATTTATTCATGTTGATATTTACTTTGTAAAATGTGCTTCTTACAGGAATATAAATAGTTGCTAGAAAGAACGCTGGCAACTTCAAAGCAAAATGAAGACCCTTCTGCTGCTTTCAGCCATTGGGTTCTGGTGGGCTCAGTATTCCCCACATACTGAAGCTGGGAGGACATCTATGGTCCCTCTGTTTGAGTGGCGCTGGGTTGATATTGCTCTGGAATGTGAACGATACTTAGCTCCCAATGGATATGGAGGGGTTCAGGTGGGTATTGTTCATCATAGAAATTGCAGAGTTGACTTGCTTATAATAAATGGCAGTCTGATAAGTATCATTTTTACCCTGAGTGAAATAGTTTTCCAGGAAGAAACAATTTGGTATTGCTGGCAACTTTACATTTTGTTTCTGACATACTCTTTCTTCAGCTGAACATCTCCAATGTGCTGTCAATATTTCCAGGTAGTTGTAAAGAAATGTAGCTGCACATATACAAATATTCCAAAATGATTTTAGGTTATTGGTTAGTTTCTAGAGTATCCGATGATATACAGTAAGCCATAATTTGATACTTATTGAGATTCCTTTATTTGTAGGTCTCACCACCCAATGAAAATATTGTAGTAACCAGCCCTTTTAGACCTTGGTGGGAAAGATACCAACCAATTAGCTATAAATTGTGCACAAGATCTGGAAATGAAGATGAATTCAAAGACATGGTGACTAGATGTAACAATGTTGGTGTAAGTGAACTCAAGTTTCCTTTCAAAATACTATATAGCACAATAATTTCTCTCTCCTGTCTCTTTCTCCTCTTGAGCAGAAATTTTTCCATATTTAAAAATTTTTAATTTTATTTCCAGCTTTAGCTATACCTCAAAATTAACTGTCGCCTAAAGTTCAACTTTGGCAGGTTTTTGTGTATGTGCCATGTGTCTGCTAAAGAAGAGATAAGTTAAAGTTTGAAGTAGAATTGACTTATAAAGCAAAACATCAACTTTTAACCAGTATAACTATGCACGTTTTCTTGAAACTCTTTTCTGGTTAGGAATTGGAAACTCCAATTACAATATTTGCTGTCATTTTTATGTGACTCTTGTCTCCACCAGTAATTCCTGGGTCTTCTCCCTCATAGGTTTTTTGATGACAAATAGCTATGTTCTTTCTTAAAGAAAGAGTGTCTTGAGAGACAGATATCCATCTTCCTCTCTTCAAATGCTAAAGTAGAGAGAGTAGAGTCTAACTGCTTAGTTCTCCTGGTCCCCCATTAAAATTCCAAAACCCAATAACCTCTCTTATCTCAACTGATCCTTACTTGCCTCCATAATGGATCTCTGCCTTTCTTCATAGTTCATGTGATGTATTCTGGTTCTTGCAATTTATAACATGTAAATATTTGACCGAGTGGCTGTAACGGATGTAGGTCTTCGGTTCACATTAGTTTCCTTTCACACTTGACTTCCAGTCTTACAGAAAAATAAGTTGTAAAATAGCAAAGAAATATTTTAGAGTTTTATTAACATGCTGTAAACTTCAATCAATAATGCCTTAGATTTCTACCTCACTATAAGTCAAACTGAAGTAGAAGCTTTGCTTTTCAGGTCCGTATTTATGTGGATGCTGTGATTAATCATATGTGTGGTAGTGGTGCAGGTTCAGGAACAAGCAGTACTTGCGGAAGTTACTTCAATGCTGAAAACAGGGAGTTTCCAGAAGTCCCATATTCTGCTTGGGATTTTAATGATGGTAAATGTAACACGGCAAGTGGAGAAATTGAGAGCTATAATGACGCTTACCAGGTAATTTCATTTCTTTCTTTACTTTTCCCCCCAAATACTGATCTGAAGAGTTATTTATGCCTTTATTTCCTTCTTCTTTTTTTATTGGAACATAGTTGATTGTGCATATCTGTGGGGTATAGCATTGTATATCAATACCAGTGTGCAAATGTGATGTACAAATCAGGATAATCAGAATATATTCCTTTATTTATGGACATGAGCTTATTGAACTTCATTTTACATACTATTTTAGATTCCTCAGGAAAACGCATTACCAGGTCTAACTGCTTACAAATATGACACTCAATCAATATTTAAATAATTTTCCCCAACCAATTAAAAAGCTCATCTACTTTATTTCCTACACTTTTGATTTTTATACTAGAAAATATTTCCAAGATAGGTCCACAGGAGAATGTCAGTATTCCCGGTACCCAATGCAAAGAAGGCACTATAGAAATATCTGTTGGTGAACATGTAAATGAATGAATGATTAAATGGACTGTCAGGTGAAAGATGATGTTTTAGGGATCAATTGCAAAATTTTTACCTCAACAGATTAGAGATTGTCGTCTGACTGGTCTTCTTGATCTTGCACTGGAGAAAGATTACGTGCGTTCTGAGATTGCTGCATATCTGAACCGTCTCATTGATATTGGTGTAGCCGGTTTTAGACTTGATGCTGCCAAGCACATGTGGCCTGGAGACATAAAGGCAGTTTTGGATAAACTGAATAATCTAAATACAAATTGGTTTCCTGAAGGAAGTAAACCTTTCATTTTCCAGGAGGTACATTGATGCATATATCTGCATATAAAATATTATTTCATGTTTTTGAAAATAAAGGACAGATTTAATTAAATATAAAATTTCTGTGATGCATATTTAATTAAATCTAAACTTAATGGATGAATCATTTATATAGAGCAGTGTTCTTTAATCTCTTTTTATTTGGAGACAGCACATCTAATTCTTTATTGCAGTATGTTCTGGAGAAGTGCAGAGCATTTATTTAGGCTGCAAAACATCACTGTCAGGGACCATTATGGAACACAGAGAATTATACAGGTGTTGTCTCGAGCTAGTCTGAGTTTGAATCTTGTCTGTGCCAGTATTAGCTGTGCTAGTTTTTAGAGACACGGATGAGCTTCTCAGCGCAACAGTACTTTCATGTGAAGGAAAGGGCTCATGATAATGGTCCTGTCTTTGTTTTCTTTGGAGAATGGAAGGAATTAATATTTATCAAGCATTGAGTAATGTTACTCTCATTTATGTGCAAGACTAAATTAGGTCAGCATTCTTACAGGACAGCAGATCACTTTGGCATTACGTTTCTTTCAAAATTGTAGCATACAATTTTTTTAAAAAAAGAAGAATCTTGGTATAAGGAAAACTGTTCTTAGCATTTCAAATAACATAAATACTTTAAAACTATTTACTAAATAATATTAGTTTCCTGGTTAAAACACTATAGAGTTCTAATGCAAAATGATATTTTTCCTATATTTCCACTAGGTAATTGATCTGGGTGGTGAGGCAATTTCAAGCAGTGAATACTTTGAAAATGGCCGCGTGACCGAGTTCAAATATGGTGCAAAACTAGGCACGGTTATTCGCAAGTGGAGTGGAGAGAAGATGGCTTACTTAATGTAAATAAAATATGATTCATCTTTCGAATTATTTCACAGAACTATTAGTCATATTACCCCAATACAGCTAGCTTCTTAGAACCTTCTTATTTTAGATGTGTCAAGGAGTCCATTATTAATGATGTGTTGTATAGTTCTACAAACCCCAATTGATGCTCTTTTTTATTTAGAATGTCAATGACAAGGAAATATGTCAAGCAATGCAAAACATCACCTGGGAATTTTAATCTGTATATTATATGACTATACCAGTTTTGCCTGATATTTGCATGTAATCTGTTAAAGCCAGGTTATTATTAAAATGATCTTCCCATTTACAAAGTACCTATAACATTGCCCTGCTGGGAATTTACATGTACTACCTGATTTGAAGTATTAAAATGTTTACATCAAACAATGCAGTGCTGAACCCTTATTTTAACTCCGTTTGCAATTCTGTGTGATTTGATATGGTTGTGACTTTTCTGAAGTCTTTCTAAATTATGGGATAGTGAAGCATCTAAAAGGGCCTATTTTTATAACATAAATCTTAGTCCTGAAATATGAATGGAATATAAGTAGTCCATATATATATATATATATATATATACACACACACACACACACACAAACATGGAATGTGTTTGTAGATAACATTTGTATACACATATACATAAATATTTATAGATATGTAAAAAATCCCATAGAATAAGAACTTAATTAGAGAGAATGCAATATGAGGATGCTATACAGAAAGAATTGCAGATTAAGATTACTCTAAAGCTATTGTAAAATTCATATATGTATATGTTATTGTTTTTTAAATAGAAACTGGGGAGAACCTTGGAGTTTCATGCCTTCTGATAGAGCACTTGTCTTTGTGGATAACCATGACAATCAACGTGGACATGGAGCGGGAGGAGCATCGATTCTTACATTCTGGGATGCTCGGTAGGAACAGAGTTCTCCACATTGTTATTTTACCTGCCTTTTAAGGATGGTACGAATATTGTATTTTTCTATGATAATACCATTTTGTAACTTTCAGACTGTATAAAATGGCAGTTGGATTTATGCTTGCTCATCCCTATGGATTTACACGAGTAATGTCAAGCTACCGTTGGCCAAGATATTTTGAGGATGGAAGTGTAAGTTTTGGAGTTGTTCAAAACACCTTTTTCTCAAGGAAAAGGAAGCAATTTTGTTTTGTTTTCACACGAGCCTATTACATTTATTATTTATTCATCAAATACTTATTAGGTATAAACCTGATGGAGGACTCTGATGTTAGTAATGCAGATGATATTAAAGAAGCAAGATTCATGTTCACTCTTGTCATAGAGTATACAGATTCTTTCAGAAATTTGACAAGCATGCCCTGACACAAAGAAAATCACTTAAAATAAGAGCAAGATACAGGAACTAAAATAAATACATATCTTAAGTACCTACCGTATAGGGGTGATATGAGTATTATACACACTAACACTTGTAAAGAACTTAAAAGAGTGCCTGCACGTAGAGCAAGATGAAGATTTGTTAAATCCTTTTAAAAAACGTCCTATGGAATACAAAGAAATTATTCAGTTGAACTGACGTTACATACGGAGAAAGTATCCTATAAGAAGGAAATTCCATGTTTTAAAGAACAGGAATTTTCACACTATTTGAGGAAAGGTAAGAATGAAAAAAATAGTTGGGATTATAGTAAAAAGCATTCTTCTGACTAGTGATTTCAGAATGAAACTGAGAAGTAAGTTTAGGCAGTTATTTTGAAAGCTAATGAAAGTTTTTCTTTGTAAACTGAAGATTTCAGAAGCAACAGCATGCAGAAACTTCATACTCAATGCAGAAATTATTTTTCCCAGCAAGTCAGACAGATATCTATCTAGCGTTTTTCTAAATTTCTTTCAATTTGAGAAGCCCACTACTTTGTGCAGTAACTCATTCTATTGTTAAAAAGCTTTAATATTTAGAAGGGTCACTTTATATTGAGCCAACTTCTTATAATTTCCACTAAGTGGTTTTATTTCTGATGCCAGGAGTCATGAGCTATTTCCATTTACCTTTTCCCTGTAACATTTCCACTTCCCCAAGACTTATGCATACTAAAAACTCTTCATGTTTTCCACTATTTATTATGTGACATGATTTTGAGATAGATGCTGATAACTCTCCTACTGCCTTTTTAAAATAAATATCTCTAAAAGTGCCAATCAGAAAAACGTAATATTAAAAATTTGGTCATTTTAGTAAAGAATGTTAGGATGTGTTGAATAGTGCATTTGTATAAAAGAGAGTATGAAAGAAATACATATTTATCTGGCAATTATCTTAATCAAGGCATTTTCACGTACTCTATTTAATTTTTATAGCAACCAAGCAATATCCCCATTTTACAGAAGAGAAAACTGAGGCACAGAGAAGTTCCATATATTGACTACATTTTCTTAGCTAGTTTTAATGGAGCCTATATTTTCATTCTGGTGTTTTGACACTAATGCCCTCTATGACATTGCACTGCTTTCAGTAACATTAAGAAGCCGTTGTAATTCCCAGGAAAGAAAGTGGTTAAAAATTTGTTACTCTTTTTTGAGATATGGCACTAGAGAAGCAGAGGTGAGAGATGATGAACATTCAGTAAAAGGCTGTAAAAACAATGAAGGCATTGGATTCTAAAAAAAGACACTGCAGAGACTTAGGCAGTAGGATAGACTGGGTTTCATGTAATGGAGAAAGACGAGGGAAATACACATGTTAAAAATCTGTTTTTTTGGTTTTTTTGTTTGTTTGTTTGTTTTTTCCTTATTAAGGATGTTAATGATTGGGTTGGGCCACCAAATGATAATGGAGTAATTAAAGAAGTTACTATAAATGAAGACACTACTTGTGGCAATGACTGGGTCTGTGAACATCGATGGCGTCAAATAAGGTGGGGATATTTATTTAGAGATATCCTCTCAGTAAACTTTTCTTAACATTTTATCTTAAACTGTTAAAGCTTTAGCGTATCAGCCTTTTATGATATTGTGTTTTTAGGAACATGGTTATTTTCCGTAATGTAGTTGATGGCCAGGATTTTACAAACTGGTGGGTTGTTATTTTACCTGCCTTTTAAGGATGGTACGAATATTGTATTTTTCTATGATAATACCATTTTGTAACTTTCAGACTGTATAAAATGGCAGTTGGATTTATGCTTGCTCATCCCTATGGATTTACACGAGTAATGTCAAGCTACCGTTGGCCAAGATATTTTGAGGATGGAAGTGTAAGTTTTGGAGTTGTTCAAAACACCTTTTTCTCAAGGAAAAGGAAGCAATTTTGTTTTGTTTTCACACGAGCCTATTACATTTATTATTTATTCATCAAATACTTATTAGGTATAAACCTGATGGAGGACTCTGATGTTATATATTAAGTAAAAATTATATTTCATACTACTATGTCTTTTGTTTATTTTTTTCTCTTCCTGCTCATTTACTTTTTTCATACTTTAAAAGTCATTTAGAGGCCTGACAAAAATAGAAACTAGAAAAGGGCAGAAAAAAAATGATGGCTTATTCATTTTTTCTCCGATGTTTTTAAGGGTTATCTGTTGTAAGTAGACTTCCTTATGTGCACCATTGCCATACCATGGGTGAATATATAATGTGCATATATATGCTCATACCCTTCCGCCCCATATACGATGTAGTTTATATAACAGTAGTGACATTACTAAAAGTCCAATGCCAGCTTTCACTAATGCTTAGCTCATTCTAGTGTGTTATATTTTATTGGCCAATATATAAATAAGTCAAGTGTATGGTTTTTTTTCTCTCTCTCTTTTTTTTTTTTTTTGTTTGTTTGTTTTGTTTTTGGCAAAAGAACCCATGGCTGATTCTTTAATTTTGTTCTTTTCTGGATGGGAAACCAAAACAAACATGTTTGAGATGGCTTTATGTTCCAAGCTATGTACTTCACAGAAATGCTAGGTTATTTTTACCTCCAGCCCAAGTTTTTTTAGTCTCCCCAAACAAAAACAAAAACAACAAAAGTGATTTTTAAAGACATAATTCCATTTATAAGTTTTAAAATAATCAGTATTTTCTTAAGTTCAGATAGGACAAATTTAAAATATTTACTTTTACTACAGAGTGGTGATTCCTGCAAATCTTCACTGCTGTACTTCAACCTTTTCTTGGCAGGGGTAATTATTCATTACTGACTAGGGAATTGCTAGGTCTAATGTAAGACTATTGTTGGTTCTGAGAAAGCTATTTACATCCACTGGAGCAGTCTTTGTGTTTGGATGGTCTTCTTACTTACCTCGAGTGCTTAGGGTTCAACAGCACAAAGTTAATCTGTGCATTTCTGAGATAGTGTGTATTCTTGCATCTAACTGTGTTGAATTTAAGTTGAATTTTAAATTTTATTTTACAGGTCATTATCTTCAACTTTGCAAACTGGTGTTCCTGGTGGCACATATTGTGATGTCATTTCTGGAGATAAAATTAATGGCGATTGCACAGGAATTAAAATCTACGTTGGCAATGATGGCTATGCTTCTTTTTCTATTAGCAACTCTGCTGAAGATCCATTTATTGCAATTCATGTTGATGCTAAATTATAAATTCAAATTAAATGCATATCAAGAGCAATAACCAAGTGTGTTTATTTTCTTGTAGATACATTAATTCTTTTAATTCATGACTTTTTAGTAAGAGTTATTATAGGTAATCAACTTAAAAAACTCAAAAAAGCATAAAAACCCATATCATTATATTATAAGGCAATTCCAGTGAACATGTTGTTGTGCTCTAGAAGACTCACTTTAACCTATTTGTCAAAGGAATTTTTGAGAACTCAGAAAGGCATCTTGAAAAGTATGTTCGTTGTCATTAACACCATTTACCCAGCTATGGATCTCTAATTCCATCTGTATGTTATTCTTCATGGAGTATTCCTATCAATTAGTTAGGAATAGCTGGTTTAGTGGTCATTTCTGTACTCAGTTAGCCTATTTGCATGGTATTTACAATGCATAGGCACTTTTGCAGCTAATGTAATTCAATAATAGAAGAAAACTATATTATCCAATCTACAATTTTAGATATAATTAGGTCACAGAAATCTTCTATTGTGTCTCTGTTTTTTCTTTTTTTATTTCTTTTTTTCCAATGGCTCATAACTTTATGTCATATGGATTTTTGGTACTTCTCTTAATCTCTAATATGAATGTTTATTTAGGGCTTTTGTGACACCTGTGTGTCACCTGTATCACTTGTGCTCCTGTTTTTTCTTCTCAATCTTCTAGCTATTTATTCTCCTACACCTTGACTTTAAATGTGGATTTTTTTAGGGTTCTCATCTATGTCTCTTACAACTCTCAGTTGTTTTTCTTATGCTTATAGGAGAAAATAGAGTCCATAACTCAGAAACTCTCTCTTCTGTTCACCTACAAATGTGTCTGTTCCTTCTCGGAAGCACATTCACTGTGTACATTGATTACCACTTCAGCCCACTGCACCTTGGGTCGCAATTTTCTACCATTTGTATGAGTCCAGTGAGACAGAACACATACATGCAAGTAGTTACATGATGCAGCTGTATTACACACAGACAGGCAGTAAGGGACAGCAGAAGCCTAGGATTAATAATGAAGCAGCCTCCGCAAGGCTCAGGAAAGCTGCCCCAGGTGGATGGAGTCTCATTTGCACATTCCCCATTCACACTGTCCTGATGGACCCTGGATGGCAGCCTGCCCTGTGTTTTATAACCTGGGGGCTATATGATGTGCTGGGCTAAAGCTTTTAAGGACATCCTGATTTAAGAGGAACAGGAACAGAATCCAGGCAGTTTCTACCAGTTCCTCCTTGTCTCAGGATTTTGCATTCCCAGCACATACATTCTGCAATTCTTGAGAACTACAGGTGAGAAGGAGGGAAGAACTGGTTCAGTCCAAGGCTACCCACAGAACTGTCCTGCATTTGTACTTGGCGTCATCTTCTTCCCTCCTTTCATGATGAGGAAAGCGCACCTCATTCTACCTAAGGCCATTCCCTCCACTTGTGTTAATGATATCATTTTACTTTTAATTTTTTGAGGATTTTATTTCTGAGATTATCTTTCTTTTTTGGATTTAGCAATTTTTTTTTTCTATTTGCTGAGTTATTCCCCTCAGATTACATGTACAGTCATAACTACATTTTGGTCAACAAAGACAACATATAAGATAGTGGTCACAGCAGTGGTCACAACATATAGCCTAGGTGTGTAGTAGGTTACAGCATCTGTGTTTGCACAATGATGAGATCTCGTAATGATGCATTTCTCAGAGCATATTCTTGTTGTTAAGTGACACATGACGGTCAGGAGACAGAACGGGGAAGGAAACTGCAGACAAGTTCCTTCCTTGTGGTTTCTGCTGGAAGGAAATCACGCAGCAGGATAGGATTAACTAGTTTGAATCATTTCAGTGGTCTCTGGGTCACACAGACTGTCCATGATTGTTTGGCCTTTTGAACTGGGGTGATTAGGTTGGGCGGATTGTGGTCCAGAGTATGAGAATCCTATAAGGAAGAAGATCAGGGGTTTGGACTTAATCAGCTGCTCAACAAGGGGAACTAAGTGACCTCCAGCCAGGGCCTCAAAACTGAATCATGATGGCATTTATATGCTTGGTATTTTTTCCATGTTGATCATTAACAGATTAGCCACTGAGTACTCAATCCCTACTGTGGTCAAGGGTAAAAAATACATTAAGATAAAATAACTTAAAAGAAAGAAAGAATGTGAAAAAGAAAATAAAAAATGGACAATCAGTGGGGCGTAAGAAAGTGGATTAAACACAAATATATCAATAATTTCATTCAATGTAAATGGACTGTGTATTTTAGTAATAAGACAAGCATTTTTAGACATGATTTTAAAAAATAGGCATTGAAAATAGGTAAAGACACAAGGCTAGAACAGACAAACCATGGAAATTCTATCTAAAGGAAAGTGAGTGTGGCTTTATTAGTATTGGGCAAAATGAATTTAAAGTCAAATTAATGCCAAAGATAAAATGGTCATACTGATAATAATGTTTGACTCTTTGGCTGGAAAATAACAATTTTAAGTGTTTACTCACCTCATAACATAGGTTTATAATAGGTAAATCAAAAATTGACAGAAGAGTAAGAACTAATAAGAAAATCTACAATTAAAATGGGATATTTTTAACATAACAACCTCAGTATTTGTAGAACAAGCAGATTTCAACAAAAACTTGACCAAATAAACATATAGAGAATGCATTTTCTCAGTTGTCTACACACAGATTCATAATCCAAGTGTTTTAAAAGACTGAAATAATACAGAATATGTTACTTAAACTACTCAAGCCACATAGTAGGCTGGTACTGATCCAATTTTTTTCAGCCATTTTCTGACATAATGAACATTTATTTCCAGACATTTTGCTGTTATAGCACGTATTATAATAAACATCCATGTGTGTGTCTCCCTGCATACATGGGTGAATATTTCTGTAGGCTAGATAAATATGAGTGGAATTTAAAGCACATTTTTCTATCTTAACATTATGCAAAATTGCCTTTTCAAAAGTCCCAAATTGTTCTGTCTGTATGGTGATTATGGAGTATATTATAGAACTTTTAATCACACTTTCACCAAAATTTTATATTCTCAAGCCTCGATTTATTGCCTTTTGATCGATGAAAAATGATTTCTACTTTTAATCTGCAATCTCCAAATTAATAGAAAGGCTGAGCATCTTTTCACATGTTTATGGCAATTTGGGTTTCCTCTTTTGAGATTTGTCTGTTCCTTTCCCATCTATTTTTGTTTTTAGATTTATTTCTTCTCTTTGAATACTTGAAGTTCTTCTGATATTATTTTAATAGTTTGTTATGTATTGCAGATATATGCTCCTAGTCTATCACTTGTTTTTTGTATAGTCTTTATAGTGCCAATTTAAGTACTCATGGATTTTGGCAAGAATTAGTGTGATGCCAAAGGGATGCCTGCATTATTTTCACTTTTAACTATTTACCATGCAAAAGGATATGCTACCTTTTAAATTTGGTTTTTTAAGTAAATGCTACTTGTCTCATTCTTTTTTTTTTTTGTCTTTTTTCATGTCCGGCAACGGATCGCAACCCTCAGTGTCGCACCCGCACCGGACCAGGACCGGCAACGGGATCGCAACCCTCAGTGTCGCGCCCGCACCTCGCTCAGCCAGTGAGCGGTCGGTCTGTATGTGGGATCCGAACCCTCGGCGGGTGCGCCGCCGCGCTCCTAAGCGGCGCACTGTAGCAGTGCACCACCAGGCCGGCCCTACTTGTCTCATTCTTAGATCTTGTTTTGCACATCAATGAAATAATAAGATTGGATTTAGAGAATTGGTTCCAAATGGGGGGGGGAAGAAGGGGGGAAGAAACAATGTATTAGTGATAGATTTTTTCATAAAGCTGAATTTTATTACTCGATATATTGAAATATCTTGTCATACAATTTTTGGAGATTTTACTGGTTACTTAGATCGTAAAGTATAGAAAACACTGAGCTAATTTAGTTCACCAGTCTCTTTCATTGTTAACATTCCCTGATTCTGTGATTTATTCTTCCCATGTCTTTCTAAATCCCAAGGGAAAGGAAATGTCATATAAAATGTCTTGTGAATCAACAAGCTTAAGGGAACTTACTGGCTGTATCAATCAGAATAGAATAGTTTATGCTGCACTAACAAAACAACTAAAAATTCTCAGTGGCCTACAATCACTAAGTTTATTTCTCATGTTCATCTCAGATTAACAAGGGGAATCTTGTTATTAGTTCCTTTGACATATGTCACAAAGAAACTTCATTTTGACAGGCACTTTAACAATCTAGGAGTCTCCAAATTAAAATCATATGTTTATATGATTTCAGCTCACATTTTACGGCCAAAGAAAATCATGTGGACCCTCCCACATTCAACAGGACAGGGGTATATATTTCACCTGCCGGAGGAGCAACCAACAGTCGTATTTGTGAATAATAATGCACTATGTGTGTAAGTGTGAGATCAGAAATAAAAACTACAAGAGACAAAAAGTAATTTCTTTTGGAGTGAACATTTGAAACACAAGAGAGAATAACCCTTACTACTTCTGCAATCTTCTAAACATATTAGTATGATCTAAGCAAATTTCCAGATTCTAAAATACGTTTATATACAATATTTTATTTGACTTTCCTAACAATCCAATGAAGGAGAATGCAGGACTCAGTAGTAGGTAAGAGCTCACTGTGCAGTTAGACTGCTTGGCTTTTAATCTCAGTCCCAACATTTACTATGATGTGACCATGAACAAATCCCATTACTTAATTTTCCAGTGTCTCTGTTTCCTCCTTTTATGGATAATGTCAATTCTATCTTGCAGATTGTGTGTGTGTGTGTGTGTGTGTGTGTGTCTGACAGAGAGGAATCAAAGTTATAATGTATGGATAACACTAACAAATAAATGCATGACTAATAGCACACAGTCACACTCAGTACATACTGTCAGGATTGTTAGTGGTTTTTGTATTTCTGTCATATTCTCCAATAGTACTATCATCCTTCCTTTCTAAATGAGGACCTACATGAAATCTGCACACTTTAATATTTTCCCTA